TTCAGATTTTTTAGACTTTTTCAGATTTTTTAAATTTTTCTAGATTTTTTAGATTTTTTAAATTTTTTAGATTTTTCCAGATTTTTCTGCAAGAGACATCTATAAAGTTAAAAAAAATTAACCAGTCCAAAAAATCTGAAAAAATCTGAAAAAAAATCTATAGAAAAATCTGAAAAAATCTAAAAAATTCCCAAAAATCCGGAAGGATCTAAAAATTTAGAAAAATCTAAACAATCTAGAAAAAACTGGAAAAATCTAAAAAAAAACTGGAAAAATCTAAAAAATCCAGAAAAATCTTAAAAATTTAGAAAAATCTAAAAAATCTAGAAAAATCTGAAAAATCTGAAAAAATCTGAACAAATCTGAAAAAATCTGGAAAAATCTGAAAAATTCAAGAAAATCTAAAAAATATGGAAAAATCTTTAATTTTTTTACAGGATTTCCCTAAAATTTACAAGATTTCCCATCTGGGAAATCATGTCAGGGATGATGTGCTGGTGCGGTACTTGGTACCTGTTTTTTGAAAAAATTCAACAGGTACCTGAGTACGAACGAAAGATCTCTACAAATCAGGCTTTGGAAACATTTTTTTGTCCCAACTGGTCAATAAAACCTATTACAACCATCATTCAAACAACACTGTGATGGTCTCAAACTGGGTGCTGAGAATCTGCGTCAACAGATTCAGTTCCAAGGACTTGCGGCAACGGTGCAATGAGTCCTATACGTGTAATGTATTGGCATATACAGTGTATTGAACTTTGTCAGAAGTACAAGTATTTCAAATTACATGTATTGCATCTGCTAGCCAATGCAATACAAATACATTGTATTCATTTTCTAGCCAATACAATACAAATACATTGTATTCACAACGGTGGGCCAGTTACACTAACCGTAGTGTTAGTGCAGTGTAGTGTTAGCTTTTTAAGCTAAACTACAACAAAGTTACTGTTAGCGGAAATTTAGTTTGAAAAAGAAAAAAAAACTTTAGTGTAGTGTTAGCTGACTTGGAGAAAGTCCAACTAACACTAACCAAAAAACCTTTTTAGTACAATTTCAGTGGTTTTAGTTGTTGAAACCACTACACTACAGACCAGAGTAACTTTTTTATGAGTTACACTAACAGTCAGTGTAGTGGTTCCCTCAGTTACACTAACAGTTAGTGTAACTGATCAAAAAGTTACACTAACAGTTAGTGTAACTGATCAAAAAGTTACACTAACTGTTAGTGTAACTGACTATGCACTGTGCAGTTACATGACCACATGACTAGCATTAGTCTACCCTGAAGACAGTGCCTGATTGGGGGGCCTACATCCAGATCCCCTCAATTGATCATCATTTTTTTTTCAGTTGGTAATGGGGGCCACTCAATTTTAGCCCCCTGCCAATTTTTAACACTTACTTGTAAGACCACATTCCACTGTCAGACTCCCTTGAGATTATGGGTTCAATTCCCCTTCAGATCATACTTTACTGGTTTCCATTCCCACACTTGTTCAATTTCCACTTTCACATCATGTAGCAAGGGGGGGGGGGTTGAGGTGTAACCATGATGTATCACCAGAGTGTGGTGGAGCTGTTGGCATAAACCATGGCAACTACCACCCAACTAAACTTACAACCACAATGGTCTGTAGCCTATTTGGTAAAGGAAGCACTCTGGTATGTGACTCGTTCACAAATGTCAGCAGCAGCCAAGAAGCATTGTTCCACGCTAGCTTGGCCAAGGAGGCTAATGTGGAAAATTCTTTGTGATGTTCCTGAAGGAAAATACAAACAAGAAATGAGCCTTTAACTGACATGCAATATTCAGATATCCCAAATAGGATACTTACTTTTCACGACACTAGACACAGGTCTGCATTGTCCGGAAGAACCTTATACTTACCGCCCAGGTAGTTTGCCAACTCATCAGTATTTGCAGATTCCACGGCCCCAGGGAATAAAATTTAAATCCAAATCATCGATTGGCCGTTGATGGCTGGTTTTCTGGGGTTGGGATGAGTCAAGTGACCTTGATTGACAGAATACAAGTTCCCAAATCATCAGCACTCAAACATTTTGCATACCATTGGTGGCTTTGGAACACTCAATGACCAGCATTTGTGGAACCCAAGATCAGACAGCATCTTGAGAGGGGGTGTGAACAACGGTGGGCTCACTATGCTAATGGTGGTGTTAGCATAGTGTAGCGTAGCAGAATTCCGCTAACGCTTAGCATAGAACAGAGGAACTCCACCACAAATGTGCTAACGCTACGCATGTGGGCCCCAAAAAAGGGCCCACTACGCTGCACTACAGCACATTTTAGCGGTTTTTGTGCTGTTTTTGTCTCTAAAAGCGCTGTAGCGCAGTGTAACATAGCGTAGTGGCACTACAGGGGTTTGGTGTGCTGTTTTGAGGGCTGCTATGCTAACGTGAGTGGCCTTTTAGCATAGTGTAGTGTAGGGAAGCATTGTTGGTGTGAATGAACAGGGCCAATTACTCCTCAAGAATCTGGCCACCACTGAAATGAAACTTTTGAAACATCTGGGCCAAATGATGGATTGGTATCAACGGTGGGCCGCTACGCTACACTACGCTATTTGACCACTAACTGTTAGTGTAGCGGCTTTTTTTTTCTCTAGAAGATCTGTAGTGTTAGCGCACGCTAAACACCGCTGAGCTAACTGCCAGTGTAGCGTGAAATTTTTATCTCAAATTTTCTGTAGTGTTAGCTTCAAATAATCACCGCTAAACTAACAGTTAGTGTAACTTTTTTTTCACTAACAAAATTTTGACTAACAGATAGCGTAACTGAGTTGACGCTAACATTTAGCGTAACTGGTCCCACACTACGCTACACTATATTTTAAGCTACACTACACAATGGTGGACAAATGAAAAATTTCAAGTGAGAAAATAACACAAATGCATGCCTTGAGGTGGAATTGAACACTTGACATGACAGGTTAGTAGCATCTCCAGACATCCTCCTTGTCCACATGACTAGCAGTACATGAGGAATGGGTCGGTGAGTTGAGGTTCAGTCAGCAAGAGGATGTCATGGACATGCCTGTGACATGTTCACTCCCTGGGCTCTGAGTTTGAACTTGAAGTTCAAGCAAGGGGAGATGGATGTTGGACCTCCAATCTCTTCCGATCCAAGCAAGACCCCATCAAGATTTTTCATCCTCATCCTCAGCATCAACTTCATCAAAGCTCAATCTGATCTTCATCTCAATTAAATACTCATCACAACCACCTCCATTACATCCTCCAATCCAAAAGTCTCTTCAGCTTACTCCCTCTTCTGAAACTTAGGTCTCTCATTGGATTGCATTGGACTAACTTCAATCGATTCGATCTCAGCAACCGTTTGCTTTTAGTCATTACAATGGCTGACAAAGTTGTAGCCCTTGATGCTAGCTTTCCAACGAACCAAAAATTAAGGAAATCGGACCTTTTTTGCAAAAGTTATCGCCACTCAAAGTCAACCAGCAAAAATCAATTGCTTCCCCAAAAGGGAACAAACTAGAAGACTGCTACCCTGGCTCTGATGCTTGCTAACCTCCCCCCTCTTTGATTTAGGTACCCCCACACACATTTTCTTGACCATTGACTGTGGATTACAAAAAGGACGGGCCAAAAAAGCGGTATGATTTCAAATTTGTGTTAAGCTTCCACAGGTTGCTGATCTAATTTTTTGCTTCTTCTTACTCTTCCTGTTTCCCTTTCCTGCAGCTGGCTACTAAATGATGGAATAAATGGATCTTGGGGTGATTCAAACCCTGGGGACTAATTTATCTCTTGATAGTAATAATAATGCCAGTATGAAAGCAGCAAAGAAACAGTGCCAAGCCAAAAAAAAACAGGAGCTTTGAATCCAGATTCTCAAACAAACTCTCACCCCTAGTGATACCACCTACTTTTTTCAATTGGAGGAGCGTAATCAGTTACGCTAACTGTTAGTGTAACTCAGTAATCAGTTATGCTAACAGTTAGCGTAACTTTTTGATCAGTTACGCTAACAGTTAGTGTAACTGAGGGGATCACTACGCTAACAGTTGGTGTAACTTATCAAAAAGTTACACTAACAGGCTAAAATTCCACTAACAAGGGATTTGGTTAGTGTTAGCTGTTGTTTTTTTTAGTCAGCTAACACTACGCTAAAGTTTTTTTTTGTTTTTTCAGAAATCCTGTAGTGTTAGTGGGCCAAATTTTTCGCTAACAGTAACTTTTGTGTAGCGTAGCTTAAAAAGCTAACACTACGCTGCACTAACACTACGGTTAGCGTAACTGGCCCACCGTTGTTGGTATTGGTTAGGATTGATCTGGTGCATATCTCCATAAATATATGTTTTGTGGGACCAATACCACACAATAAACCAGCTATTTCCATGAAATTAAAGGTATTGGCCCCTGTTCCAATCAATTTTACTTATTGTGCTCCCAATTAGATACACAGTTTATCAAAAACTGTTCATTTGAGAACCAAGTCCAATCCTGTGTTGCATTGGTTGGATTTTTGGTACAAACACTGATCTTGGACCCTGGAAACTTGTTCCTTGATTCTGTTTGATGATCCCACAGGCCTTCCACTTGCTTTGAATACCAAAAATATATGTGGGGGGATTAATGAAGCTATCTGTGGGTGTTGTCAGTCCAACCTACATCTAACATGAAACTTGCTCCACAAGGCTAAAAATGTGTTTGAAATCCCCACAAATGAATATACATATGGGTATGGGTTTCAGAACTACCTGGATGTGTCAAGAAAAAATCAAACAGTATTCTTGCCAAGGCTCCTGTGTTGGGGAAAGAATGAAACAATTTACTAGGAATACATATTATGCTTCATCACAATAAAAGGGGTACACTATGAATACAGTATTGGAGGAAGGTCTAGAGCCAGGATTTAATAAAAGGGGGGAGATTACCTGTGGCTTGATTTTTGAAAACTCCACCCATCCAATAATAACAAATATCTCCTCCCCCCAATCTCAAATACCATCATGTTATTATTCTGCTTAACTATTGCCTTCAGTCTCTTATGTTACCACTCAATGCAATCCCGTTGCATTCCACTTTCAAGAACTGTTAAGAATAGAGGGATTTCCCATGCAGGTGAAATGCACCCTCACTTCCAGAATTTAAGAAAGAGGGGAATGGAACTTGCCAAAGGTATTCAACCCTTTCAATTTAAACTTTGGTCTGGAATCCTAAGATTGAGTCATATCTCTTATTGATTGATTTGTTTCCCATCTATTATAGATCTGGGAGAAGCTTCAGGCCAATGTCAGGGGTTCACTCTTACTCAAAGGAATGTTTGATAAAAAAAAACTCATCTTTTTCATCCTCAATCATTATATTTCAGGTGAAAAAGGTATTAAAGAAACAACTGGTGAGTGTCTTGATTTTCCTGCCTCTGATATCAAACAGTATGGAATTAAAAAAGACAACTGAAGTGAAATTCTAAAACCTTTGAGGAGTCAGGGGGTCTAAAGGATCAATATGGACTGACAGCACCAGTTGGCATTGATGGAAGTGGTCAATGTAAGTCCCCTACGGGAAAGGGAATCTTTTTCCAAAGGAATCATTTGTTGATGCTAGATAATTCCCAATTCTTCAAGACAACCTGGTGGATGGAAAGGTTTTGAAGTCTGGTTAGTCAATCATGTTTCAAATTTCCCTGTTTGGTACCACCATAGATATACAGTGAATGATTCAAAAAATCATGGGGAACCACATGAAAAGAGATGCAACCAGAATATTATTTAGGCATCAAGTCTGACTTTGCAACACAATTTTTCTTTGAATCAAAATAGACATATCAGTGTGAATAGTACCATCATCATATCTCTCATGCATATTACTTTGAGTAATCTACTTGAGCAATAAATGGAGGGTGTTAACCACACTGGTATTTCTATTTTGAAAATGGAAAAAAACTGGTTCAAAGAGTCAGCCTTGTTTCCAAAATAAAATTCTGGTTGAGTCTTTTGGAATGTTCTACCTTTTGAGTATAATTTTCTTATCATTGCACTGTATCTTTATGAAAGTGTCAAACAGGGTTAATTAGTCAGACTTATCAAGAAACTAAAAACATCTTCTTTTTCACATTCCTTCTTGATCCAGCAATGAGTAAGCATCCTGGGATAATTCTCCAATAATTAATCCATTCTGCTGGATTTCAAAAACCATGTCTAATGATAATATTTCCAAATATCCAGAAAAACAATCAAATTCTCCCCCTAAACAGTTGACGTGGGACATTGAAAGCATTGAAATTCTCAGAGGTATGCTTGATTATTTTTTTAGCAAGAATAAGTCCAATTCAAACTTATGGAGAAAATCATTATCTCCAAAAACAACAGCCTGATGATGAAGATGGGAAAATACCTATAATTTTGGGATACTCTTATAAGGGTGTTCGATGCTGCATATTTTTATGCAGCATAAAATTATCTGAAAGTTCTGGATATGGAAACTCACAACTGGTAATGCATGGTGTTTGAGATAGTTTTCTAGGAATCTGTAGCTCCACAAGAAAAATATACAGTTATACTTGGAATTTTCCTTTGAATTCATTCTTTTTTACCCGCTTATCTCAGTAAATAATGTTGAATCATCTTGTGTTCATTCCCTCTTTGATTCATAACTTTGAACTGAATCTGGCTCTTACACATTGTGAATTCCTGTTCAGGAATTGAGTTTATTTTTCTTACTTTTTTTCTAAGTAACAGTACATCATACTTTGCCACTGAATTGATATTTTCCCTGTGTTGATGTTGACTTTCACCTGAAATCATCTGTTTTTCCAGTATTATTTAAATTTACTGAGAAATTGAATTCAAGAGTATCCCATTCTGCTACCCTAGTTCAAAATATCTTTTGTGTTCACTCACACTGAGTATTTGGAAGGGTAAAAACATTTAGTGGTATTGCTTCCTACCAGCCTGATTCGTGAGCTCAAAATACTCCCTAGCTGGACTGCCTTCTAGGGAGCACAACCCCCCCCCCCCCTCAAACAGGCAACTGAAGAATTAACAGGCATTGTCTTGTTGAGCGATTTTCCATATTTTGCGGGGAAATACTTACTTTGAACATAGCTACCAAACCTGAAAAGCCTGCTGAACTTGCATGAGATGATGGGCAAAGCCTTGATGTTTCCTTTATTTTCCATCATTTTGGTGATTTTACCATCCCTCTTTCCTAAGAAAACAGGCATCCCAATCTCCCAGAGAGAGCAGATTGGCTCACTTTCCCAAGAGTCCTTTTGATTCCTGGGTACATATATACTGTGAAGCAGACACTCCGGTCACAGGAGGAACTTATCTTACCTCCAAACTTGGCTGTTTTGCGCCTTGAGTAGAATTCCAACAGTTCAGAAGTGGTTTCCACCACTACCACCACCCCTGGATTCTTCACGTCTGAATTCATTCCATATTGCTCAAGTCCATTATGGAAAACAAAAAAAAGCTCAGCGTGGTGCTTGACACTGTCAATAAAAAATCATGAAGCTGTCCGAGCTTGGGAACACAATGTTCAGATAAAGTAAATTAAAATAATGTAATCATCCAAAACATTAAAAGATACAAAGCAAAGTAAGTCCGTTTTCAGGAGCATAAATAAGTTTGTTTACTGTTAAACTGTCCAAGTGAATAGAAAAATAAAAAATTTGGAGGTATGCAGCTGTCGAGCCTCTACTAGAAACCAGGAACCCTCCAGCCTAAGTGGCAATTGACCATGCTGTAGGAAAAATAATATCAGCATCATCATTTCTTGTGCTAAGATCTTGAAAGATTTGAATCAGCTCGACTGACCTCATGATGCTAGACTTGCAGTAGGTGGGGTCGGGGCGAGAAGATAGCGTGTCCTGGGCCGGCATCGCGCGTAGCATCGCTGGGAAATTCGGTGTCCCAAGCCCGGTAACACTACATGGCAAAATGGTCAATCACGGAACGGCGATGAAAGAAGCTTGCAAAGGTAACTGCAAAGGTAACCCACGGGTCCCACCCCTTCGCAGCGGCAAAACCAGTGGTACCACAGCCACTTGAGCTCCCAATCACGATGTCGTTCAACGCCTTGTATCCTTGGGAGTATAGCCACGGGTTCAAAAATCCGAGGGCGGGCATCCCACGCGCAATCCGATTATCATTCAAAAGAGCGATCACGGACGCAAAAGTTGGGGCAGCAGCGGAGGAACCACCGACTAGACATTTTTTTTTGATGAGTTCCATTGAGATTTCGATCAAATCAATTTGATGATGGAAGATCCATACCATGTACGTGCAGTTTTTGCCAAGTCATCAGATACTTCGCCCCCTGGGCAGAAACGTCTGGAACTCCTCGCCCTTTAGGATTATACAATCCGGTGTAGTTTGAGCCAAGTAGGTTGAGATAGGTCTGGACCTGTTGAGATTGGTATTGAGGTCTGTCAAAGTATTCGGCTGAGGAAGGCTCAGCGTGCAAGGTGAAAATCATTGAGTTAGTTTCCTTTTCGGTGGCAAAGCCAAAAAAAAAAAAAAAAAAAAAAACATCCAAGCACCCACAAAAGCCGCCTCCACTCGGAAATCCTCCAGGCCCATCTACTGAGACGGCTTCCTCGGGGTGAAATCTTTGCGTAGCTCCAACGGAAGTGACACTGGGAATCGATAATAAAAAATGAGATGGAGATTACGAGTGACGATGATAGGTTTTGCATGGCAATTAGAGTAACTCACTATGGGCAAGTGGCTGGGAAAATAGGCATAAATCTAGGTGTATTCTGGAAAGGAAAGATAATTCAGTTCGTGGTCATCAATCAGGAAAGTGGAGATGCTTGCTAACCTTTCCGTCATTTGAGAGACATGTGCCCGCTTGACCAACCCCATCGTCACCACTGGAAAAGATCAAAGACACTCCTCGAGCAGTCAATGCGGCAAGTTGGTCGCAGACTCGCTTGGCATAATTCGCGGGCACAGTTTGTTCGTCATCACCATCTGTGAAACAAGAAGAGTTCATTTTAGTCAAGCCTAGTCTGTTATTAGATGGTGCGAACATTGTGGTATGAGGAGAAACTGACAAGATGTTGAGATCACTTGAGGCACGGCTGAGTCTGGTTGAGAGGCGATGTAAAGAAGCCAGTCGAGGTAAGGTTCATTGCTGTTGGTAGGCGTGAACAAGTCGGCTTGGAAAGGCGGCGAGCCAGCGGTGGTGTAGAAAATGTTGGGCATCGGGGCAGTGAAACCCATCGTGGTTTGAATATCCAAATTTCCCTATATTTTTTTGACGAGAATATTGGTGAGCTGAAAATCTAAGGGGATCATTCTTCTTGACGAAGATCAACTACTACTCACCTCAACACCCACATGACGCGCGAGCTCGTCGACGGTATGAGTCTGAGGATTAAGGCCTCCATTGACAGAGACGACGGTGAAGTTATTAGTAGTAGGAAGACCTTCATTCATCAAGAAGTCTTTCAAGTCTTCGTAATTAGCCCTTTCTCCAATGTACGCGGTCACGCCGATCCTGTTGGCATTCCCTTGGGTCTGAAGCCGATAAGAGTCGGTTTGATATAATTCGCGTAGGCAGGCGTTTGTGACGCTCGCCGGATCTTTGCAGGCTGTAGTATTGACTGCTGTCTGAGCTGGCGCCGGGGTATTAAAGATTGGAAAGGTTCTTCTGTTATTACGAATCCTCGCAATCTGAAAATTTCATCGGTCCTCATCTCAGTGTAAATGTTAAGATCCGCATGTGAAGAAAAAACAAATGAGATCTACGGATTTGTGTTTGCGTTGGTTTGACATTTCGCTCGTGAACATCGACCTCTTCGGCGCTAACCTTCCAAACTACAAACCAACGAGAGCGGATTAAAATAGGACCGACAGAAATGGGATTCCAAATGATTTCCTTACCATAGTAGTGGGCTGTTCAAGATGAACGCGTAAAATTGTCAACAAAAAGAAAAAAAAAAACCTTCCGATGAAATGAACCGCTATACATACTTGAATCAGTTCAACATGGGAGTGAATTTCTTCAGGCAGGCTGTAGCGTTCGGTCCTCAAAAGCATCTCCCCATCATCGTGCTGGTAATAAAAATAGGTCGTATCGAGCATCTCTTCTGCTTTCTGTAGTGGGACTTGGTTGAGGGAAACCCAATCTTTACTATGGCTCCAGTCCATTGCTGATTCATCAAACCCATGAGATGAGAGCCACTTGACGATCGCCTCGAGTGAAGAGCTACTAGGCGCAGACAGATCCCTAATTTCTTCAAACGTCAAGTGCCTGCCGTAGGACGAGCTCTCGGGGTCGGAAGTTTCGACGAGCCTCTTCTTGATAAGGTCCATGCCGCCACTCTTCAGGGCGATCTTCAAGTTAAGGGTGTGCTTGTGTGACTGAGGGATCTCCCTTTTGGTGAATGATCTTGGGGCCTGATGAGCCTCGAATAGTCGAAAGCCCGATGATGAAGTCTGAGGGGAATCTGGCATGGGGAAGGCCATAAGGAGTGAGAAGAGATACGACAAAGCCACAAAGGAGGCAGAGTTGATGGCCATCATGTATATATATGTCGGGCCTTCGGGTGACAAAATAGTATAGAAAGGTCTGTATAGAAAAGGTCTAAAGGAAGGAAAGATAACAGAGAGCTTCGTATAAGGATGTCAAGGTGATGATTTGTGTTGAGAAAATGACAGAATTTGATCAAGGGAGTATTTCAAGGTCTCTTTGGGAGCTCATCCTACGCTGAGAGAATGGTTATATTATCGTTCTTTCCTGGGGCTATGGCCTTCTCTTACAGAAATCGTTGACTTTGACTTCTGGGAATCAAGGATCCAAGACCCGATTGGCCTCCTTGCTCTGGTACTAATCTATCCCCAAACCGTCAATTTCTACTTCATGAAGACCTACAAAGTAAGAGAAATAAAACACAGTAGGATGAGAACACGGTCAGACTTTTTTTTTGGTCTTGCTCCAGAATCATTCGGTGTGCTCAAGCTGCAGGTTATCTCTATTTTTTTTTTGTTCTGGACTTAAACTTTGCTTAAATGAGAAAGTCCGAAAAAGTCGACAGGTTTTAGCGCTCTGGTCTCCCCTCCCCCTCTCTTGCGTATGGACTGGCGAGCACGGTTTTGCTTCCTAAGAAAGCTTGGCTTGATAAAGAGCTAGGTTGACCATCTCGCCCAGAATAGGATAGCTTCAGAGGATAGCTTGTCGGATCACTCGACGGGATTCGGACGCATAGCAGTCAGGATTATCGACTCCTCCTACGACAGTACAAAGAAGGTGGACATCCGATCTCAAGGAAAGAGTGCTCTACTTCCTGATTCTTAATATGACGCGCATAAAGCTGGCTGCATTTGCTCCACCCTCTTCACACATCTCACGGCCATGCCTCATGTTGATTGGCCGATCGCTCCTAGTCACTAATTAGATAGAGTCCAGAGTGACTAACCACTACCTTGAGCCTTTGCCAAGTCATCTGGGGAATTTGTTTACCTTGCTGGCAATCGATGAAAAATTCACATCTATATTGTCTCTTCATCTGGCAATGAAATGAACCACTTGAATCAGATTTTGACGTCGGGTGTTGTAAACACCATTGCTTAAAGCCTGACATCGCTCATTGTTGCAGTTGTTTGCCTCTGACATTCTGCACTGATGTCTTGTAGGTGCTATCTAGGAAAGAGGATGCATGTACAAGGGGACAATTACGCCGTATTTGGATTGTGTGCACCTTCAGTATGGCGGAAAATCAAATCGCTTGATCTTGGAAAGCAGCTACCTCCAAGTTCGTGCAATCATTTGATTCAGCGTAACATGGATGATGTATGCATTCAGAAAAGGCTTGAAGACATTGATTTGATTTGACTTGCGCTTGTGTCTAGATGGCTCAACCAGCGTCACAACGATAAAGCAGTTTGCTGGTCCACAGATTGTTGTTGATGGTGCTTGAGAGGAAGATGAGTGTATGCACCGTGTGGGGGTGAAGTGGGACGGCGGACCGGCCTACACAGCCCGATCTGGAAGGTCGCGGCGGGTCATCAGCTACACATTTAGATACTATTACAGCTGGGCACCAACACCTCGGGAAACGACAAACTGACCTGGAGACAACCGGCATCGGCGGAAAACATCCAGCGACATATCATGTCGAGCGAAGAAGTGGAGGCGATCCAAGAGGAACTAGCGATCGTCAGGGCGTCGATCGAGTCCTTACAAGAAACCGAGAAGGCATTAGCCAGCAGACTCCAGACACTCCTAGATGGAGGAACTGGTCACGAGGATGCAGGCAATTATGTTCTGAGCGACGACCTCGAAGTACCTCAAGAAAAATCGAGAAGGCTCAACAAGCAGCTAATCGACTTCACATCCGCCTTTCAACCCTCGAGCTCCGATCAAGAAAAACTACCCTGGTCCTGGACACAAGCCTTGCATGAGACCATGAAGAAGATCTGGGGAATCGAGAGCTTCAGGTTAAATCAGGAAGCGGTGTGCAATGCGGTCTTATCGAACAGGGATGTCCTAGTGATCATGCCGACCGGCGGTGGTAAGCTGCTCTTCTTGACCTCCTACATATTGCGAAAACAAAAAAAGCATGCATTTTTTCTTATTGATACATTGGTTTCTTATAAACGCTTCTCAATGATGATCGCAGGAAAAAGTTTGACATACCAGCTTCCAGCCGTACTCTCAGAAGGGACGAGCCTAGTGATTTCGCCGCTAGTCGCCCTCATGGCCGACCAAAACATGCATCTCAAAGAGGCGGGTGTCCCAGCAGAGATGTTGAATGCTTCGACAAGCCGTCAAGATGCTGCTCTAATCATGAAACGATTGCTTCATTCAGTGGTCGACCAGAAACCGAAGCGTGGCTCGAAATCCAGCAAGGGAAAGGAAAAGGCTCATGAGGATGATCTGGCTCCCATCAAGTTATGCTATGTAAGTCTTGGTCATTTCACATAACCTCCAGAGAAGACAACGCCGGCAGATCACTCAAAATTGCAGCACACTTCGCTTGATCAGGTAACTCCGGAAAAAATCGCGAAATCGAAGACGTTTGTCTCCACATTACAAAAGGTCGGGCAACTCTCATGTTTTTCCTTTATTCTCCTTGAACATTTTTTTTGATGAAGGATCGAAACAGATGTATGGAGCGGGACGACTTTCGAGGGTGATCATTGACGAGGCGCATTGTTGTTCATCAATGGGGCACGACTTCAGGCCAGATTACAAACAGCTCTCGATCCTAAAAACTCTCTTTCCTGGTCAGTATCGGATGATATATTGCTCTGCTCGGTCAGCTATTAACTGTGGGACCTAAACCGAGCGCAGATACTCCAATCGTCGCATTAACCGCGACCTGTCCACCTCGCGTCATGGTCGATGTGCTCAAGATCCTCAAGCTGGGACCGATCACGAATGCTGATAAAGCTAGACCGACTGGGACGGTCCTTTTCACGTAAACAACCTTCATCTTATCTTATTTGATCGCCTCTGAAAACTGAAACCATGTGTCTGTAATATCTATCCAGATCACCATTAAGTCGACCAAACCTTCATTACCAAGTGTTAAAAAAACCTGCGACCAACACCGACCTGATCGACCAAATTGTGGAATGGATCGAGCAAAATCATTCTGGTTCTCAGGGCATCATCTACACTCTATCGCAAAAGGTAAGTTCCTGCGGGAGGACATTCGATTCTCTTTTGAAGGTTTTGGATGTGTGTCATAGCTGATTGGTTCCTTTTTTTCTTTTTCTTTTTCTTCAGGATACCACCACAGTCGCTCAAGGATTAATTTCTCAAAGCAATGGCCGAATCACTACCGGGATCTATCATGCCAGTTTGTCCGACTCTCATAAACATCAAGTTCATACTGATTGGAGAGAAGGTTCTATACAAGGTTAATCACGCTCAACTTTTTTTTAAAAAAGAAGATCCTTTTCATCCAAGCTTTTTCATCATTTCAATGATGATGACGATTCTCTTGGGACTTGTACTGATTATCTAAACAGTTGTTTGTGCTACGACGGCGTTCGGGATGGGTGAGTTCATAAACTTTTTTTTCAAAAGATAGAGATCAAGTTAAGAGTCGGAATACCACAACTGATTTTTCGTGTCGATAAACAGGTATCGACGCGCCTCATGTTCGATTTGTGATTCACCATACACTTCCGAAGAGTATGGAGGGCTATTACCAAGAATCCGGTCGGGCTGGTCGTGACGGCCAAGTCTCAGATTGTTTGCTTTTCTGGAAAACGTCGGACCTGCTTAGGTTATCAGGAATGGTAGCCTCGGAGGTCGATGGAATCCCAAAACGTGTGTAATCTTTTTCATTCTCTCTTGAAAAGCGGGGGGTGGTAAATTGAGACTTGGACTGGTTTCAGTTTACTCGATGACCAAATACGCCACCGAACTAGAGCGATGTCGGAGTCTACTCTTTGCAGAATACTTCAATACCTCCCACTCGGGCGCGGATAGTGTGCTTCCATTCTCCCAAGAAGCGTGCGGAAATTGCGACAATTGCAAGCGAGATCCTTCGGAAATCAAGCAAGAAGATTTGAGCGTGGAGGCTCTGAAGATCTGCGATGTGGTGGGATATGTGAACAAGATGGGTGGGCGAGTGACCTTGGTTCAGTTGGGAGATCTCGTGCGTGGGATCGGGACCCCAATGTCTACTATCATTAGCAATTCTCAAGCCAGGAAGGATGTCGATGATTTCCTTGCTGATGTTCCTGCTGGAATACCCGTACCGGATTTGAGTGAAGGGAAAGTCTTGCTGAAGAAAGAGGTCTGTTTCTCAATCCCTTGAAGAAATCTTTCATGATGGCGAGGAAATGCTGATATACCTCACTTCTTCTTTTTTCCATGTTGAGGATCGATATATAGCAAGTAGAAAATTTGATCCTCGCCTTACTTTTACGCGGTTATCTGCAAGAACAGTTTGTTGCCAGTAGGTTACAGCGTGCATGTCTATCATTAAGCTCTACGAAATCTGATGAGAGGTATTTCCCCCCCTTTCTTTATGTAGCTGCTTACACTGTAAATAGTTACATCAAACTGGGGCCAAAATCTCGAGTTCTGCTCACGAGTCGAGACGCGATCAGTTCAGGAAAAGCGCTCCCAAGTAACGTCAAAGTTCTGATTGCATCCTCCTCATCAACAACAGCAAGAACAGCAAGAACAAACCGCAAAACGTCAACAACGGGTGCTAAACCGAGGGCCAAGAAAGCAGCTCCCAAGAAGCGCAAAGTGGCGGATGACTCGGACAGTTCGATCGAATGTTCGAAGGGTAAACGTGCGGCTAAGGTGGTTGTGTCAGATGGGGATGATAATATTTATAACGATGAGGATGGTGAGAGTGGGCTTGATGAAGATGTACGTAGATCGAGAATATTATTCAGGAATCTTTATGATATACTGTCTTATTCCCTTTTTGTTTTTGTTTTTCTTTTTTAATAGCAGCCTATCCTGTCGAACCGTATCCGGAAACATCCATCTAATCAAGGACCTCATAAGAAGATCACTATGATTGAAATCGATTCAGGAGATGAAAAATAAATGAATGGCTCGGATAAAACGGCTGGAGAATTTTGCTACTTAATTCATTGCAGACATACGCTCCAAGTCTGGATTGCCGTCTCACATCTCTTTGTATTACTATTGACATTCTGCATTCCTTTTTGAGTAGAGTAGGCTTATGTTTTTCAACAAATCAAAGAAGAAGAAAGTTATTACTCCTATATGGCTACAACGCCCTTACTACAAAAACAATAACAATTAAAATACCAAGCTGTTCTAAAAAAAAAGGGGGTCTGCATAGCTAGGATTGAAGTATCCATTTGCAGAGTGTAACGATGGTTCGCTAATTTACGGTTTTGGTTATTTCTTTGGGTAAAATTATGTTTTCGTTAAGATGTCATGCACATTTCGTCTTTATGTTTGATTTCTGATGACGAGTGATCTTATCGGCGATTTAGATTTCTCATTCTTCAATGACCTGATGAATGATCGAAGATCTTCTTGTCTGGTGGTTGTTAAATTTTCATATATATTACTCGATCATTTGTTTTCTTTCCTCCTCTTCTTTTTTCTCTTATCTCGATATTTCTATTTCATTATTTATCATTACATTTATGTTACTAAAAATCATAGTACAATAAAATCAAGTTATTATTATAAAACTATATATAGTCTCATTTCTCATAGCGATCGCCAGAGAAATCCAGATTCTTAAACTATTAAGCTCTTAACTTTAGACGAGATTACCTCTTGGTAATCTTCATAGTCACGAGAAGTTAGAGAAATAGGTTGAGCCTCACACAGAGGCCATAGTAAGGTCCCTCTCAGAAAGTCGAGCAAGCCTGATCCAGAGTAGGGGTTCAGTGAGATTGGAAGTGGATCGATCTGAAACTTATTCTTAAAAAAAAAGAGTTAATCTTGCACCTGGAAGAATTTGGGAAGCTGTTTAAGCATAGTTGTCACCGTTGGAGCTTGCAGATGTGTAAGATCCCAAATCGGTGAATTTCGATGGCAGCCGAAAAACAGGGGAAACGGATTCGGTTGGATTGGTTTGTTGCTTGGGGTACATAACGAACTGGAGATGCTAGTTTGTAGTTAGACGATCACGGTGAAGTTTGTATTTAGTAGAGATTGATACACAGGAAACGGAATGGATGTGTATTATTTATATGTATCAAGCATGACCAGGAGTGTCTTCTCTTAATAATATCTTGGGTTGATGGACTCCTGTTTTCTTTGTTTTAAGGAATTTCTCAAAAACAAAGTGATGATCGAGATGGGGCTTGCCGCTTCCGGAGAAATGGAAGTCACAGGCTGCTGCTTCCACCCGCCAGCCACGCCACCTGCAACAACGACCACTTGAAATAAATAAATACTTCACCCACACGGCACACCCGCGAACAACAAACAACCCAAGAAGACAGCCCCATGAATAATCGATCAGTCTCCGGCCCCCGTCTCCCGCCCGGCTCTCGCCCCAAGGCCATCCACATCCAGAAGCAGATCCCATCCTCATCCTTGGCCGCCATCACCCGCCGGACACTCCTGCTCACCATCTTCAGCGCACTCTTCATCGGCGTCTATCGCTGGGCGGATGCCATCAAGGTCAGCCTGAGACTTCCAACTTGACGCATTCCGATCGATCGCTGAGAGACTCCAACAATCTCAATCTTCTTTTTGCTCTCAGTCACGATGGTACATCTTCGATCCCAGCGAGCTCCACAAGATCACACTGGAAGCCATCGAGCGATACCCCAACTCGACTTCGGCCGTCATCCACCACATCGTCCAGAGCTTCGAGTCGCAGCCCACGCTGAAGCCCTACATCACCGCCAACCCGTTCCCAGACCCGAGTCCGCAAGCCGTCTCGGCCTATCCCTCGGAATGGGTCTTCAACAATGCGGGAGGCGCGATGGGCGCCATGTACATCATCCACGCCTCCATCACCGAGTATCTCATCGTCTTTGGAACGCCCATCGGAACCGAGGGCCATACCGGACGCCACACCGCCGACGACTATTTCAACATCCTTGCCGGCCAACAGACCGCCTTCGCTGCCGGGAGCTTGGAGGCTGAAGTCTACCGCAAAGGCTCGGTCCATCATCTCAGAAGAGGCCAAGTCAAACAGTACAAGATGCCCGACGGGGGCTGCTGGGCTCTCGAATTAGCACAGGGTTTGTCCTTTGCTTCTTTTTCCGACCCCCCTAAAAAAATCTATTCTAATTTGTCGGATTCTTTATTCATACTAAAAAAAAAAAAAAAAAACAGGTTGGATCCCGCCCATGTTGCCGTTCGGCCTAGCCGACTCGGTCTTCTCGACCGTCGACTTGATCACCATATATCATACCATCCGAATCACCGCTCGGGAAATCATCAGGAACTTGTTGGCTGGAAAGATTTAAGATCTCATATATATATATATATATGTGTGTATTCCCTTCACTCTTTCTATATATATCTCGTTCCCCGCCCCTTTTCCAATTTTGTCATGGGTGGCAGCTTCTTCTGTTATATATATGCTGTTTCCTTTTTGTTGTCTCCTTGCTTAAATAAAAAAACAAAATCACAATCACAATCAGGCCTTAATCTAGGAACCTCCCCCCCTCCTCCCCCTCCCTTCCCACTTGCTCGCTGGCTCATAATCACTTTATCATCACCCCCCCCCCCCCCCTTCCAAATAAAACTAACTAAATGCAAAACTCAAAAAAAAAAAGGAAAGCATCTTGAAAAAAAGGATATGTATTTAATCGGAGTTTCTATGAGAGAAATCTTGCACTAAATGTGGATATGTATCCATGGTATTGTACAGTGGGTGGACTGTTATTTTTGGCTGCTTGTTTTGGATTCCAGGGCTTCAAAGCACAAACGTGAAGTCACAAGACTTGGTGAAGTGGTGCAGAACAGGTCCCAGAAAATGAATATATGAAGAAATAAAAACAAAAAACAAAATTTCAAAATTTGTGAAAAAAAAAAACAAAAAAATGTTTTTTTTCCAAAAGCTTTGTTATTGATTTTGGGGGAGTGGGAGTGCTGAGAGAAAGAAAGAGTGGAGCATGGGGAGAATGATTATAAATGAAAAAAAAAAATTGGAACCAAAAAAAGGGTGAGGCAGGTTGGTCGTCCAGTTTGGATCCAAAACAGTAAATTCTAGTGCTTTACCACAATGTGAGCTGGTGAATGCCCTTCTGAACAGCTGCTTAAAACCAACCGGTAACCATTTTTTTAGAATTTTCATTTATAATCATTCTTCCCATTTTCCATTCTTCTTTTCTTCCAGTGCACCCACTGCCCCAACATGAATATCAAAGCTTTTGGAAAAAAAAAACAGTTTTATGCTTTATTTTTCACAGATTTTGAAACTTTGTTTTTTTTTTTTTATTTTTTTTTTTTTCATATTCATTCTTTGGGACCTATTATGCACCACTTCACCAAATCTTGGGACTTCAAGCTTGTGCTTTGAAGCTCTGGAATCCAAAACAAGCAGCCAAAAATAATGGTCCACCCACTGTACATATCCATGGTATTGTCAAAGAAAAAAAAAAAAAAAGAAAGAAAGAAAAACTTGAAAATGATCCAAATTGATCACCAAATAAATCCTCAAGTCTTTGGACTGAGAATGCGATTGACATGCTCTCTTGAAGACTGCAAGATCTCCACTGCTGGTCAGTTTGATGACTCTACTTAATGTAGAGCGTCTCCAAAGGAGTGGAGGGGTGGCTTGGGCAGCAGGATGACCCAGGTTTTCACCCCCCCTTTGGCCGGCCAACATGAGCTGATTCAAACATATCCAACAGAACGCTGGGGTTTTTTTGTTTTCTTGTGTATGTAAATAGATGGGACTGGATCAAATATGGGAGCAGAGAGGCCTGCTCAAAATCAGCACACACTTTTCCGGCTCTTATATCCTGATCCAGCTGAGAGAGACCTGCAAAGTCCTTAATGTGTGAAAGTCAATTCAGTCTGCCAAAAAAAAAAGAAAAACAGCCCGATCCACACCCCTGGTTTGTCAGAGATGCTCTTGAAAGCGGTGGGTCTCTTGGCCTATTACATATGTATGATGTCCAGGACTGGCCTCCACCACTATGTATTTTCGTCTAGTTTGTCAGGATCATTCACATTCTTGGAGCGATTGGAGACGTTCCTCATCCGCAAAGTTATTTATCTGGTGGTACTGGTGGTGCAGTGACAGTCCAATTCATTCAGTCCTCAACTTCCCCTCCAAAAGAATGGCTTGTTTGCTTTCCCTTTTTTTGTTCTTGCAGAACTCACTGGGTTGCACACCCCCGTCCCCACACTCACCTCTTGTTTGGGGGCCATGGATCAAGGTTTCGGAGAAGAGCGTCTCGGGGAAGAAACTTGTTTGGAATAGAAGACTTTGTATTTAGTATTAGAAATTCTGTGTGAGGACGAAGGAGTGTTGAAATTATGTCTTCCAACTCATTGCTCATAAAACTGAATTACTTATTCCTCAATGTTGTTGTTTATTTCCATCAATACTTCTCTCAACGATTCCATAGTAGTAAGGTTTTATTAGTTAGTCACACACATATAGAGTCAAAGAACTTTGTTGTAGCAGTTCTAGCTCAATCATCCTGACTGACAGTATTGTTTTTTTTCATTTAACATCATTATCTTATTCATTTTCACTTAACCACAACTTGATCCATCTTGTACATTGTCTATTTAAAACAACTAAGACACAAGTAATGATCATCCTCAGTCATTTCTTGCCTTTTTTTTGCCTGTCTGGGCTGTCCCAACAATTTATTTTATTTTTGTCAAAAAAATTCCCTACAAACCCTTTGTCCTAGTCAGTAATTTAATCCAACAAGGAGATTAAAGAGAATAGATGACTCAAATTCTGTAAGTTGAACAGACATAAGCAAGAGTCAATGAGGTCTAAGAAACTTGAACTCAGATCAAGTTATGATGGCAAGAAGTTATAAAAATTTTGAAAGCACCTTGCACCTGAATACTTTCCTTTCCAATTTGGGGAAATAGGTTGCAAGTCCCTCCTGCTGATCTCTGGCAGGAGGGAATTTGTGAACATTGTAGTAAAATAGACTTTTTGAAATGCATTAATTAGAGGATGAAACAGGAGTCCCCTGGCCCTATGACTTCGGAAGAAAAAGAGGAAACACCCAGGCCTATTTCCTGATCTGATTGAAAGAGAAGAAATAGAAGGATAGCATGGGGGGGATTGTTCAACCATCAAACTGCCCCCAGGTTCCACACCAAACGCACTACTTTGCTTTCAAGGCCATCTTCTTGAGGTTTGCTTTGTGCCAGCCTGGCCATACTAGCCAATCTCTTGAGGGTGAATGCTTAATTGGCTGCAGTAACTGTGGTGTAATTTTTTGTAATAACTTAACAGAAGTGAGCAAGTTTGTGTTGCCTGTCCCACCCACAAGGGAGGGACTCCGTTGTCCTCCTTTTAGACCCCCTCTCTGATCGAATCAGATGTCACGGGCCTACCGGTCCCGGCCCGCCCAACTTTATATCACTGCTACACTCATTTCCATCGGTTTGGCTCACCAGGCTTCTTCTCCTCTCTTCTTCTCCTACATCTTCTTCCAGCCAAACAACCTGGTTTTCAACATGACTTCCATTGTCCGCACGGCATGCCGATCAGTGGCTCAGATCTCTCGCAACGCCATCGCAAACCAACTGGTAGGTCCATCACACACGTCTCCAACTTTGCTGTTTCGACGAGCTAGCTCACTGATATAATCATCCATCTCAGCTTCGGACTCAGTCACCCACTCTGACAGCACAGATTCGTTCCTACGCAACCGCTAAAAAAGGTTAGCCACCTCGCTATTTTTATTATTATTATCGATCGAATCTTGACGAAGCCTATCATACTAAGCAGCAGTTCGCGTGAATGTTGCTCCAACCGTCATCCCACCCAAGGACGGTAACAAAAACTCGCCGGATGATAAAGTTCTGATGCTGGACGTGAAGAAGAAGGTGTTGGATCTCTTGGAAAAGGAAGGTCCGATGTCGAGACGGAAGATGTATGATGACCATCTTTCCTCGATCTATCCGACTGCACCATTTGTCCCGAATCCACCTCCGAGACCGCTCTGGCTACGAACCCAGTATAGTCCCGAAGAAGAACGAGTCTACCTGACGATGAGCAAATTCAAGCGTCAACTGATTCGAAGCCTTACTGCAGATGGAACAGTCTCAGTCATAACCGTCCGCAAGGTTCGACACCTACTGGCCGAGGTCGACGAATCCGATACATCTGAGGAGCTTGCACATCGGAAGAAAAAAATGGAAAGCGTCGTCGCATCTGAAACTGAGAAAACATTCGTTTGGATCCTCGACAGTTGGATCACCACTCTCAAACAAAAATCATTGGAACGTTGTCAGAGAGAAGCCAAATTACTCGGTCATACCCCACCCACACGATTCAAGAAAGCCTGAAGGATATACCTTTCTTCTACTCGTATAAACCTAAATATCCCTTTTTGAGCTAAAACTCCCTTTGTGCAACCAAAAAATTCGATGTTCACTCGAAACCAAAAAAAAAAAAAAAAAAACCAAAACAGTCATTACATGATGATTGAACAGTACCATCCAAATGAATTCATACGTTCTGGAAATGACAGGCTTAGTTGTACCGACGTATTACCAGATCAATGGGGCACATCATCTTAAATGAGATTCAGATAACTCATGACATTCAATTGCGAAAAGATAGTTGGAAACAGATCAGGCTCCACAATGGGAGATTTCCAACTTAATACTCCCATAGTTCATAGATTTTGAGAAATAGAATAGGTCATTGGTTTGCGGATAGATGATATCCAGTCACTCACCTAGGTTCCTTGTGGAATTTGGCAACTGGTTTTGAAAGTCCCTTGAAGAACTTGGCCAATGGCCTTTCAGATGCATTTCCCCTAAATAAATTCCTTGCCCCTGCTGTCGACTGAGCACCTACTGAGGTAATGTGTAGTATCGTGGCTTTCACTGTGGGCGAGGCTCTTGCAGGCTTTGTTAGGCTCGTCCCTTCAGAAGTCACTTTATCAAACTTGAGCCCACTTCCGCTCATTTTCTTTATAAAAAAAACACACGAGGAAGCTTCCATTTTGCAATCACCCAGAGCTACGTCAATGGAACATGGCACAGTGAAACAGTTTTTCAAAAAAATAGGTCAAATAGGTTCCATAATGATACAGTAGGAGGATGAAAATTTCACCACGAAGATTGGGAAAAAAGGCTGACACAAGTGATCTACCCGCCAAAAAAACTTCTTCTGGAGGGGCATTGGAATGCACCCTGAAGGGGCTTGTCTTGAATAATTGGATAAAGATTTTCTTGGGGTCTGCCAACCCAAAATACAAACATGGTACGAAATGAGGTCTCAAACAGATAGTAAAATTTTATCTACATTTTAACCGCACATAAATAGCATGCTCTGCAAACATCAGAAATGAAACAAGCTCTGCAAATTCAAAACCGCAGAGGAACCCAAAAAATATTCAATATTAATTGACCAATGTAGCTAGCTAGAAGCATAACTTATTCTCCCTTTTTTCAAGAAAGTGGGTGTTGGAACTCTATAGTAATACGCATCCAGAAAGAAAACAAGCAGATGTGTAGATGTCACGTGGCTCTTGTTGAAGTGAAAGTCGAGCAATGGCAAATTAAGGGAAGAAAATCCTATTGGAATGCGGGTCCCCATGTTGTCCTTGTGTGTACTTCGGGATGACGAGACGCAACCGGAAAACAGAAGTCGGAAAAAATGCCTTCCATATTTTCGATTGGTTCTTCTATTAGGGAGGCGAATCACTAGTGATTGAAGATTCGGAGGGCAGCCGACCGCAGATATTGATGTTGGACCCTCGCCATCCGGCCCAGCCTCCCCGAGAGTACACCAAAGAAGGGAATCGACTCTCAAACCATTTCTTCGTCCGATCTTGCAAACAAACCTCCTAAGAGTAGATTGCTACCGCCCCGCAAGACTCGTGTTAACAGGGCAACGTCTTCCCAGTAACTATTCCCAAATCTAGATTTCCAGGTTTTCCTGAGAGTTCTGGTCGCCGAAGTCTTTGAGTCAGACTCAAAAGTCAGCTCTCCAAGCTGACCGTTTTTCAGATAAGGACGGGCCGAAGATCTCCTGGTCGAGAGGAGGACTTGCAGTTTTGACAAATCAGCTTGCCAGGGTTGCTCCAAATGGACGGTCGCCTCGCTTTTTCGCTGAACTTCCGAGATATTGAAGAATCCTCTGTTGACGTATGCCTTCGTCGTGCCTCGCCCTTTCCGGGGTATCGGTATCTTCAGTGCACCTAGAGGTTCTAAGACTAAAACCTCCAATGGCACGCCACTATCACAAGTTATTTCCAAGGGTGAAAACGTCCCGCGAAGTTCACCCATCAGGCCGAAGTAGCATGCTCCATTCCCCACCACAGTTGCATCCCCCCTTCGCATGGCCGTTGCCAGTAAGGTAGCAGGTTCCAGATGGGCTTCTTGAGTCGCGCGGAATCTTCGAATCGAAGGATAGCAGGAGGCGAGTTTGAGTGCTTTCGACTTGGAGACTTCTTGTGCCGTATCTAGATTGGTCGTGTAATATTTCCCTCTGACCGCATCTCCCAGCTGCCAACCTTTCAATACGACCCCCGGAATCCATGCCGCAAGTGCACTCAAGCCGGCCCCAACCAGAGATAAGATATCTCCCAACCCAATATCTGGTTTGAGCAAATGCATTACGCACAATCCGAGGATCACTAGAAAGGGCGGTAACCAGCACGCGATCAATAATCGAATCGTGAAGCTTTTCTTGATGCAGAGACCCTTTCCCTTTTCGAATCGCCATACATTGAAAGAGACTGTGTGGCCTCGAATAGATTTCTCGACATGTGTCGATTCGTATTCTCTTTGCTGAATAAATCCACTTCGTTTGAGGAACCTGGAGAGACCTAGTAGATTTTTGGTCTCTTGGATCTCGAATGGCGAGAAGATCGATAGCGTGTAATCCCTCAGGCCGTCTTCGTTGTGCAGCCATTTATCTGGCCAGAGAGAGGCTAAGAAATCTAAGACGTAACTTCCATCGCGACCTTCGACTGCAACCAACTCGGCAAGGATTTTGTCAAATGAATGTCCAAGTACTCCGCTCGTAAAGGCCGGTTCTGTAAGGTGAACTGGCACTGGATATCCTTTGCTTCTTGAATTGAATGACTCGTCCGTATACCCGGAAATCCTCAGGCCATCCAGGAGGTGTAATTCAAAGAAAATCATGCATTTCGGACGGAGCATGTCTTCTTCGTGCACCCTGTTGCGTGATATACTGTTGAACGCTAGCCACCATGCTGCTTGTGCTCGGAGACAGCGAACAGACGCGTATAGATTAAGTGGTTCACTCATTGACCAAGTGTAACTTTGAATTTGGTGTCAAACGGCCGTTATATTCAACTCTGGATGTCGACTTTCGAATTTTCGACTATAGTTATCTATACTGGTCTTGTGGGCAGAACTCGCGAATAACTTTTTCGAAAACGATCAAACTTCGTTAACTCTGGAGACAAAGTACATATGGATCGCACTCTTTCAAAAGCATACCGGGTTTGATTATGTGTCTTCACATCCGCTTGCAATCGCATCAAACAATCGATGAAGGCCTTCCCTGACTTGCGTGTTTTCTATTAGTTTATGGCTTATACTCCTAGGATATAAATAACGATAATTCAGCCAAACATACCAAAGCGAGATCAAAGCAGAGAATGCTCACAGAAGTTTACCGCGGATTAGTACTTTTTGACGAATGTCTCAATATTTCTGAGGAGACATCCAATACTAGCATAGAGCCAACATCCCGACCCCTATTTATTTGTTTCTGTCTGTAGTGGGTTAATGTTGGGTTCAAGTCACACCTGAATTCTATCATATATAACATGTCGTATGTATTTCAAGTCACACACATCGTCGCTGTAGAAATAAACACGCCATGAATTGGCAGTGAATGGACTTTCAGTTTACATGTGATTTGTACGTGGTCGTAACTGATCACGACTGGTGCAATGTAAGACACTAGATTACAATCATAGGATTGTCAGATCGTTGTTATGGTCGGGTGTTATGTAGACAAATAAATGATATAATCCCTTATCCCAAGACCATTCGGCATCATGACTCGGTTCGAAAAGCGCCTGGGTGTAGACTCTTCCACCGGTCGCTCGGGAATGCCGGCAAAAGAAGCCGGAGGAAAAAATCGCGTAGGCTGACCGACTGAATGACTGCAGGAATACCCAGAACTTTTGGGCGGCGGGCAGCCGACCATGAAATGTCCTGCGATGACTTTGAACAAAAAAAAACAAAATGCAAAACCATTGGGTTTTAAATACAATTCATACCAGATACCATCCATTGCACTTCGGGCCTGAAGTAAAGGCCACTGCGCCAAACTTTCGGTTGAAGAATTGCTGAGCTGTCACTGTTTTAGGCTGTGTAATGTACCTGTGACATGTGCGGGGTGAGTGCTGACCGGCGGCGGCGGCGGCTGGCTGATTCAGGCTGACCGCACCCGCCATACCACAGCACCACTCGTTCCGTTGACCATGGCCATGACCACCGGCTCATCAACACCGACCCAGAACCCGAGCTCATCGAGCTTCAATCGACATCTGACCAGCTTGGACTTCTCCATATTCAAGACATACCTCGTCCGCTCCCTAACCGACCAGCTCGATAACATCCTCGGCCCAAAGACTATCATCATCGACCCTGTCCTGGCTGGCCCGCTTGGCTTGGTCACTCAGGTCGGAAATCTCAAGGAGCATGGGGTCGACAAGCTTTTTTGGCTCGAAAAAGGTCCACTCGGGAATGCCGGAACTGCCCAGAATATCGTCTGGGTTTGCCAGCCGATGGTCAGCGCAATGAAGTTGATTGCACGTCAGTTTATCATTACATGTACATCTTCACCTTCTCATCTCTTCATTTATGTATAGCATGTTAGTTGGTCCACAAATTAACATCTTATCTGTTCTTGATGATTACCTGCGCCACATTCAGAGCAGATCTTATCCCTCCCCGCCCGCTCGTCAAATTCGTACACGATCCTGATGACCCCCAGGGCTACCCAAATATCTAAGAATGCGTTATCCGAAGCTGGTGTACTAGGAAGTGTCGAAGTCAAAGAATTCGATCTGAATTTTGTGCCATTAGAGAAGGACGTCTTCAGTTTAGAAGAAGAATTCGGCGGTTATAGTCAAATCTTCGCGGTACGATCATATCTATATCTGAAAGAAGTTCCTGTAAAAACACCGGATGCTTATCTGTATGTGTGCTAGGATGGTGATTTGAATCCGATTTACAATATGGCCCGAGCCATTATGACCATCCAGCGTGCGTTTGGCTTGATCCCTAGGTTGATTGGTAAAGGAACTGCGTCACGAGTCAGTACTCACCTGTTCGATTTGTTTGTCTTGAAAATAACTAATTCGGTGTTGATAAAACTCACGTTTTCAGAAACTAGCAAATTTGCTGCATCGTCTCAAGTCTGAATACGTATCATCACCAGGTCATGGTACAACCATGCCAAAGCTGACCCCTGGCTCAATCGATTCTATCATCATCCTCGACCGGCAACTTGATATGGTGACCCCCATGTGTACCCAACTGACCTACGAAGGCCTTCTCGACGAGATTTTCGGAATTAAACACGGTTAGTATCTCCATCCTCAGTTTCAGTGTGCATTTTCACCCATATCACAGCTGTCTGCTGAAATTTGTGGAATCGTTTTCCAGCACACATCGAGGTTGCCCCCGACCTATTGGCTCCCTCTACACCCGTTGCTGGCAACACCGCCCACTCGATCCCTTCTTCGTCTACCTCCCAAACCTTTCCACAGGTTGCTAAGCGAAAGAAACATGTACTCAGTTCATCATCAGATCCGATCTTTTCTGAACTTCGGGATCAAAACTTCTCTATCGTCGGCAACTCCTTGAATCGGATCGCTAAAAGGATCAATATGGATTACGAGAGACGGAACGAGGCTCGGACAGTCCAGCAGATTAGGGAATTCGTCGGCAGATTGCCTGAACTTCAAAATGAACACCAAGCTTTGAGATTACGTGGGTTGGCTGACTGACTTCCAAAAACATCCATTTTTTTGGCTTAAAAAGCTAATATGTACTTCTGTAATAGACACCGGACTAAGTGAACAAATCATGACAACTACAACTAGCGATGAGTTCAACCAAACTCTGGAGATCCAGCAGAGTACATTATTTACTCTCCTTCTCAGTCATACTCAGTCAACTAACTCAATTTGATTGTTCTTTTGCCCTCAAAAGATCTGGTAGCTGGTCTAGATTTATCAGGCCAAGAGAAGGCGATCAGTCAATTAATAGATCAAGAAGTGCCATTACGAACGATCTTGCGTTTACTCTGTTTATATTCTTCGGTATCCGGAGGGATCAAGCCCAAATCATTTGAGAGCTTAAAACGAGATCTTTTGCAGACATACGGCTATCAACACGTGAACCTACTGATCAAGCTATCCACACTATCCTTACTAAGCTCGACGACAACAGGAGGGCCGAGCTCGGTACCCGGCTCGATCATGTCGGGTATGACCCTGATCGGTGGTCGGTCGGGGTTCTCTGGGGCTAGGAAACCGTTGAAATTGATAGTCGATGAGCTTGATGGACCCGAGCCTAATGACATCAGTTATAGTTATTCTGGTTATGCTCCTCTGAGCGTCCGGATCATCGAGTCGATCTGCTTCAATAAATCCTTGGGCTGGAAGAGCTCAGTCGAAGAACTCTTGAAAAGCTTCCCCGGTGAGGCTTTTGATGAGCGGCAAATTGACGCCGATAGCTCAGATGGTACGCGCCGATTTTATATCCCCCCTTTTTTCAATTTATCGTCTTCTGGACTTAGTTAAGAAAGATTATACTTATTTCTAATGTTAAAAATTAAATTATCCAGGTCGACCTTCTTCGATAGATCCCATCCCAACAACCATCATATGTTATTTAGGAGGAATCACTTATGCTGAAATCTCTTCATTAAGATTCACATTTAGTAACCATAACCAAAACAACTCAACCAACAAACGAAAGTTGATCATCTTGACCACCGGGATCATCAATGGTAACCAAGTCTTGAGTTCCTTAATGCCTGTCGAAACTCGCAATTAATCATTACCCTCACCCCATCCCCCCCCCTTTTTTTGAGTGTTTTTCATCCTTTGCAGACGTTTGTATGATGTTCTAGGCTGTTTGAATTTAAATCCCAAATGTATTTTTTTCATTTCTGGGAGCAAAATAACACTACATGATTCTTTCAAAAAGAGTCTTGGTGTAGGAGTTACTTCTGTTAGTTATCATATGTGAAAGCTTACAGATGAAGATCGTACTGCTATTTAGAGCAAGTGTGTTCTCTTTTGATAAGAATATGCTTTTGATGTTTCCCAAAAGATGGCTCTACCAGTACATGAGCCTAAGATCCACCTGGGAGTGCCAGGGCTCCTGACATCTTTTCACAGAAATCCAGTCTACAGAGTCCATGTCCATCTGTTGGAGATTCTTGCTAGATGTGAATCTTGTATGCTAGGGAAATAACAACAAGTCCAGCTTACTGGCAAGCAGGGGTGAAAAGCATCTTGTGCAAAGTGTGGCCTCCTCACCTGTCAGGAGCATGGCCAACATTGAACAGTTTTTTTGGAGTGAGTACCTGGGATCAAAAAAGCCCATTTTGGTAAAAATGCAGTGAATCCCCAAATGTGTCATCTTCCTAGGGTGCCTTGGTGATCCCTTTGGTTACATAACAATCATTATCCTTGGTTTCTTGCTCTTCATTTCGGCTAGTTTCAAGTTTTATGCTTGTCTGATCCTTCACCCTCGAGGTGCTTCAATCAATGGAGTGTTTGGAGAAAATCTGCGCTCTATCCACATTCACACAAATCAACATTTACTTACCACATAATTCCTAAGAATCTCCCTGGGAAGGGTTGCAAACCTCACCTAGTCAAATGGCACAGGCTCTCATTGAAAGCACTCTGTCCAATTGATTTTTTTTTTGGAATCAAATTCAAATGAATTCAGTCATGTAAACTTCAAGCTTCAAAATTCTGTGTGTGAAGCCAATTTATAACATAAAAAAAGTACAGAAGGAATTCAACAAATTAATGTTGGGATTGATTAACTTGCAGAAAAACGGGTGTGGATATCATGAGTAAAACTAAATAAAAAAAACATAGCTATGAAAGATTGCTTTTACCAGCATCTGAAATAATAGTTCAAAAGTGAAGATCTGTTGCATCAATTTTGCGGCAAGTTGCTTCAATCTTGAAAAAAGTAACCCAACTTGAGGAACTTCTTGAGACTCAGATCTATGAAAAGTTGGATGTCATTATTTGACATTCTTTGGGGATGAACTGAACAGGTGGTTGAATTGTTTGGATGTGAACTCCTTGGGGAAGACTATTCTCATGAGCAAAGATCTGTTTGATTCTTTTTCTTAACTTGCTTCTCTTGTGAATTCAAGACATGTATTAAAGAATCAGGAAACATTTTCAGAAAATTCTTGAAAATTTCGCAAATCAGATTGGTACAGTGACCCTGTGATGTAAGCATAAGGATCAAATCCTATGCTTACATGGAGGTATGCTTCTTGCTTGTGGAGGCAATTTCACTTCAAAATCAAGAAAATGCTTGCTGGAAATTCATAGATATGCTATGGTTATGCTTATATTGTGCATGCTTACAAGGCAGGGTCACTGTAAGAAGATTTTAAAATTGATGGGCAATATATTACTGGAGCAATGACTTAAACCCATTGGTTCTAAAACAAGACCATTTGATTTTAGGTCAGATCACTGAACATACTTGGTTTAATTCCTACAAGAACAACAACTGTAAGAAGTATTTCCATGTTTTTTTTTGAGAACAATCTATGGTTTTTCTGTTTTTTTTTGTTGATCAGAAGCTCAAGACTGTTCTTCTAACAATTTAGAGTTACATTTAATCATCAGGGTGGATTTCCAAACCTTAGAGAGAAGCCAAACCCATCCCCTGGCAAAATCAAATCATGGATGAGCTGCCTCTTAACCCGCTATCAAAGCTTGGAGTTGGTTCAACACACAAATCAGTTTCTCATTCCTGGATAAAAAGAATCAGTAAGAATATTCAAAGCCACATCAAACTCAAATGTTTTCAAGTGGGAAATTGGAAATTTGATTTGGCAGGCTTCCTACTCCATCTATTTTTTTGTTGTACATTTTGTCTCTTATTTTGCCTTTTTGTTTCTGTGGTTGTAGGGGTCATAAAACACATTTCTCAAGAATGAATCTGAGTACATGTTACAAATTACGCTCTCCCTCAATGCAAATGGATTGATTCTTTTTGATGGAACCAACTTGCTCACAATGATAGATGGATGGATTGATGGGGAAAGGTGAAGGCAATCGTAAGTGGCTGGTGACAGCCTCCCCTTCACCACCCAGCCCATGAACTAGGCACAAGCTTCATGTCTCTCAGGAATGGAGAAAAGGCTGCGGATCTACCTTCAATGTGTAGCTCACCTGACCACACCACACGTTCCAGACGTACACAGTCACACATTATTCAGATAGACGGGTGCTTGAAGGAGGAGGAGACGGAGACGATTACGTGAATAAGAAAAAAAAAGACAGGCGCCAAGTTTTGTGTGTGTGTGTGTTTTGGTACAAGCTGAGAGAGACGATAGGTTGAAGATCATCATCAAAGTACAAGACACTCAAGTTTCCAAGCCAGCTATTGTGTATCGGTTCTAAGTGATGATGAATCAAAACCAGAGATTGATCGGACTCGCATTCGGCTTGATGATGCATATGTATGTATGTATGTACTCCCAAATAAACATAGGTTACGTGAGCTTGAACTTAGGGATTGCATCCGACCCTTTAGATTTTCTTGTCTTTGATCAAAGCTATACAATTCAAGATGCCAATTTCAGCTGAGAGAAGAGAAGAAAAGTGGAAGATGGGAGAGGAGAGGACTGACCTTCGATCTCAGCGATGCTATTGGACATGATCTCTTTCTGCAGCTTGGGGTCTTCCAACTGTTTCTGGACGCTCGAGACGACTTGTTTGACCAGTTCGGCTTGTTCGGCCTCTCGGGCTTGGGTTTCCACACGCACCCATCCATCCAAGATCGACTTGATCTCATCCTTAACGGCCATCTTCTGCTTCATCTTGTGTAACTCATGTTCAGTCACTGCCGTATCCTGATGACCATCCATCAAAACTAGTCATTACCTATTTTTTTATTGTTTCCTTATGCTGAATAACCGAAATAAGATCTCATCTCAATAATCACTTACACGTGACATCTCAAACAGCGTCTTGGTCACCGAGACCACATCCTTCATCTCGCTCACCGAGGCGATTCGTTCCTTGACGGCATTGGTGTGCTCTGTTCGGGAGGCATTCAAGACGCTTCTTTGTTTCTAAGCGTCCATCAATCAAGGGAGATTGGATCAGCATCATGGGCTGTCGTACTATCTGATGATCAGGAGTCCAAGAAGTAGACTTACCTCGATCACCGAGTCGGCCCATTGTTTGTAAGGTTCCTTGATGACGGTGCTCAAGTATCCGACCATGATGACAAAGCCAGCCAAGATGACGGACTCCTCATTGACCACGTAGAGTTCGTTTGAGACCGCATATCCGCCCAAGCTGGCCGCCAAGGTCACCCAACCGGTCTTGCTGATCGCACTGTTTCCCGGAAGAGCGTCTAGGAATGCGTTCGCTTTAGCCTTGGGATCGGTTGGTGCTATCATTGTGGGTAGTGATTTAGTAGGACACAGTCAGTTTGGTTTGGGGAAATGAACAGGTGGTTTTTTAATTCTCGTTCTTGTTGCGTTGTTTGCTTACCGGTGGTGGTAGAATTGAAGCGGATACTTGAGATACATATTCCCGATCAGTTTGAGGTCTGCAGAGAGATCAGTTGAGATCGAACATACCTGGTGGCAGCCGGCAGGACGACCGGTCTGAGTGATTGGGTGTTGTTGAGGGCCAGTCGGCGAGCAAGAGGTCTGAGCTGGTTCATGGTGCTTGTGGTTGATGTTGAAGTCTCTGGCTGGCTGAGTGCTGTGCTGGCTGACGCTCGAAAGATGATGATGATGGAGAAAGCCGGAGCCTCGGAGGGGGGGCCCGGCGGATGCTAACACCCCTGTCGACTGCCAACTGGCTATTCAATAGCCCTCGTACACCGAGTACGAAGGCTATACAAGGTCATCTGAGATGACCCTCGCCGTCCCTCGCCCCGTAGGCTGAGGATTACATAATCAGCTCGTCCGAACTCGCAAGCAAAGGTCCATTGGCTTCAATGCTGTGCAACCGCTGGGGATCGCAGCATTGCACAGCTGCTGTCACGGC